TAACACTCACTAACACTCATGTTGTTGAATTAACACTGTATTTTTAACATACAACACTTGCACTGGAAATCTGACACTTCCGAATTTGCTGTGTACTGATATAACTGTGGTTACAACTCCAATTGTTTCCTCTTCTAAGTTTTTCTGAATGTTACACCAATTAGCTTATTGCGCTAATCCGTAGCTGTATTGTTTTTTGTTTGTTTGTTTTTTTCAGTGGACCGGCCGGTCAGAGTCTACGCAGATGGCATCTTTGACCTGTTCCACTCGGGGCACGCTCGTGCGCTCATGCAGGCCAAGAACCTGTTTCCAAACACCTATCTCATAGTAGGAGGTAAGAGAGGCTACCAACAACTCTCCCAAACTCTTCATAACCGTTTGATGTTTCTGCATGCGTCCGTGTGTTTTCTCTTCATTGCTCCTGGAACAGTGTGCAGCGACGAACTGACCCACAAGTACAAGGGTTTCACAGTCATGACGGAACACGAGCGCTACGAAGCCCTGAGGCATTGCCGCTACGTGGACGAAGTCCTGAGAGACGCACCGTGGACTCTCACGCCGGAGTTCCTCGAGAAACACAAGGTGCGTTTGTGAGAAACACTCAAGTGCTATCTTCCTAAAATGCCACTAAGAGAAAGGGAGAGAGAGAGAAAAAAAAACGTGACATGACAAAAGTTGACTCATCACAAATGCAGTTTACATTGACATGATGTGACGAAACTTCGTTAATCTACATCTGCCTGGTTTACTCCAGTATACAGCAGTTTTTGATCATCTTTGTGTTTTAACACACAATATGCTCTTAGTTTGCTTTCTTATCACTGAAACAGCAAGATCATCGTTTGCTAGTGCCAGTAAAATAGTTCAGTAATATGATGAATAGCGACGGGGCTGATCAGTACGGAGCGAGAACAGAGTGAAGAAAAGGAAGCAAATCCAATCATAGGGGGGAAAAAATATTTATGATGTGATTTCTGAATGAATTTTGTTGGACTGGATGTTATCGAGGGGTTTTAGAGTAAAGGGGGTAGAATACATAGTTTTTCCTTAGCATTACTCTGTGTTGATGTATTGCATCTCATAAAAACTCAATAAAATTGAGTTGTGAAAATCTCAACGAGAAGGAATACTTTTCCAAGGTTCTGTAAGTAGTGCAGAACTTAAAGGCCCTACTGCATGTTTGCTTGAGCTCTTCTCATGTTTCCTGTGTTTTCTGCCAAACAGTACATGTCCTTTGGTTGTTTCTCAGATCGATTTTGTGGCTCACGACGATATCCCGTACTCCTCAGCAGGAAGTGAGGACGTTTACAAACACATCAAAGAAGCAGGTTTGGGCGGTGATCTGCGGGGAAATCAGAAAATTGTGTCGCACATTTCACCACTAAAGGAGGATCGGGCCGAAATAACCTTCTGCTGGCATCTTTTGCTGTCAACCAGGGATGTTCGTGCCCACGCAACGGACGGAGGGGATCTCCACCTCCGACATAATTACTAGAATTGTCAGAGACTACGACGTCTACGCCCGACGCAACCTGCAGCGGGGCTACACGGCTAAAGAGCTCAACGTCAGCTACATCAACGTAAGACATTGCACCGTGTCAGAACAGTGGCCAAATCTGAATTTGCAGCAGACAAAGCAAGTTCTTGGTCACCTGACTAGAACTTTTACTTATCGTGTTTCCTGATTTTTTTTTTTTATCCCCTTAGGAGAAGAAGTATCGGCTACAGAACCAGGTAGATCGCATGAAGGAAAAGGTTCGAAATGTCGAAGAAAAGAGTAAACATTTTGTCTACCGGGTGGAGGAGAAGAGTCACGATCTCATCCAGAAATGGGAAGAAAAGTCTAGAGAATTCATCGGCAACTTCTTAGAACTTTTTGGACCTGATGGGACATGGGTAAGTCAAGCACGGTACTCAATTATAATGCTACAAATATGTCCACCACATTAATGGTTCATCATAACTCAAGCCTTCTGTCAATAAGCTTAAAACCTTTTATTGTTTTACATTGAATTTAGAGAAAATGACAGAAATTAGACGCCGCTATTTGACTTAATATTTATTGACAGATGAAGATGTGTAAAAATCACAGTTGTTACCACACATTGACAAAACATTGATTTTGTTTTCCTTAGGCCACTTTGTGCTTTATTTGGTAGTATACTTAGGATCATAGTCCGTTTGGAAGATGCATTTGATCAACTTTCTGCCTGGTTCATAAGGTCTTTTGTTTCAGCTCTGAGGTTCATACTTACACCTCGCACTCTTTGCTGAGCAGTACGATTGATGGTCATTCCTGTGGTGTTTAAACTTGCATGTAATTCTTTTTTTTTTTCTTTTTTTAATGGATGATACTTTGCATTTTCTGGATGAATCAGACTTGCAAGTGTCAACAGTTCTTTCCCTGTTGCTTTCACTGAGTCATGTTTAGTTTTCCATGAAGCAAGCAGTGTGTTTGTGATTTTCCTGTGAAACATCTACACACATTTTCCTCTGTTTAACTTAATTCAGTCTAAGAGGCTCATGGTGTTATAGACTGGGCTCTTCCAAGTTGTTGAAAGGCATTCTTAGTGTATGTAACCCTTTGAATAAAAAAAAAAAAAAAAGCATCAAATTTTTCCCATATATTTCTTTTTGAATTTTTTGTCTTCCAGATTTGAATGCATCAAGCTACTGTTTTCTATTTTCAACATACCTAAAGCTACATCTGTGCTGCTAAACAGCAATCCTCCTGACAAGCCAGAGTTCTGCCTCCTTCTCTTTGTCTTAGCCTCAACGTTTGCCACTCAAATTGTGACCTTTCTGGTGGACAAAATGAGCCGGTTCCCATCAACAAATTGTTATAGGCGTCACAAGCCAGTCCTCAAGGGCTGATGCATGTTCCTGCTCCATGACAGCTGAATTAGCTCCCGAGCGTTTCATCAAGCTCTGCAGGAGCAGGCTAATGAACCATTCATTTGGTTCAGGCTAGTTAAAACCAGGGGGGGGAAATGAAAGCATGCAGGACACCAGCCCTTAAAGACCGACTGCGGTTCACCAGTGATTTAGGTGGAATTTTAACAAGCAAGGATCGGATGGGAAAAAGAAACCAGGGGGGAGTGTTTTCATTTTTTTTTTTTATAACATCCATCCTGTTGTGTTTACTCATCAGAATTTGTTCCCAGGTCTGCTCCGGGTTTAGAAATTGCACTGCAAATCACAGGCTACACGCGTACGAACCTTAATTTTCTTCTTCTTCTTCTTCTTCTTCTGCTGTTGAACAGAAGCAAGTGTTTCAGGAGCGCAGTGGTCGGATGCTGTCCTACGCTCTGTCTCCCAGAGAATCGCCCTGCAACAGCCCCCCGCGTGAACTGTCCCCGCTGCGCTCCCCGTCCCCTCCGTCGCCCCCCGCCCGCTGGTACAACGCCCGGCCCTCGCCCCCCACCTCCCCCAAAGGCGCATCGGCCTTGATGAGCAGCATGAGCGAAGGCGACGAAGACGAGAAGTAGATGTGGATTCAGACAGAAACGTTTCACTTTCATGGTACACTGCCTGGGAACACTTCACCAAAAAAAAAACTAAGTAAAAAACAAAACGACAACAACAAAAACTTTTCTTCAAACAGCGGCTGGAAACAGAATCAGGTTTCCTCAAAGACGTTGCAGATTTGCAATGCTGACATTGATCAGGGGAACTGTGGTCCGGACTTGTGGAGCTAATAAAAAAAGCCATCATTCTCTGAAGAGCCAAGCAGAAAAAAAAAAAAAAAAAAGGGGGGGAGATGCGAAGAGCAGGATGTGGATTTATTCGATGTATTTAACGTCTCCGTTTTCTACAAGGACAGGAATCCTGTGCAATATCAGTGAAGGGGACTTGCTTTGGATTGTCCAGAACTAATACAGACACTCAACCAGCCTGCTTATAGTATCACTGGGTTGTTTCTTGTCCTGCTTTTTGTCCTTACTTTGTAAGATGCCAACCTTCCATAAGTTTCACTCTAGAATCCCCCCAAACTTAGAGTTTAGAATAGCAGAAAGGACACAATGGGCAACCCAAATACATCACTAATGCTACTTTGAACCATTTTTATTTATGTGATGCCCCTCCACCCACCAAAAAAGTTTAAGCTTTACTAATAAGATCCTTTTGCTTTTTAAAAGCACTTTTTAAGAGAATTATTATTCAAATGAAAATTCTGTATTCACAAATTTGATGACACCATTGGTAAAGATGAATTAAAAGCCCTAAAATAAAATCACCCTGTTTGCAAAAGCTTAAATTCGTAATAAAAAAAAAGCCGAATAATCCATCCTCTAATTTGAGTACATTTCTTCAGTGAAAGCGAAACTCCATGTTAAAAAATACTGTTGTTTTCAACAAAACAATGTCTGGCACAGTACCTCTTTGCACAAAGTCCCGGGTCCTCCATGATGTTCTTATGGGACCCCTGCTCCGATGGTTTCCTGTGGGTTTTACATCCAGGTACTCAAATGGGCATGAAAGAAGTGTCGATTCTGTGTCTGGGGAACCATTTCTGTGTTGATTTGGCCTTTTATTTTGGACTCTCCTCCATTGAACGTGATGTTTTTCAATGTATTTTGTCCTTTACACCAATCCTGCCAAGAGGCTTTGTTGCAGAGAATGTCGATGTTCCTTTTGTTGTACCTGATGATAGCAAGACAAATGTCCTCATCCTAGTGGCTAGGAGAAATAGGCTCGTGTCTCATGCCATATTTATGCCTAAAGGAGACAAAAACTCTCAGAATCTTTAAAACTTTTTCAAAAAGTATTGCATAAATAAAAAATAAAAAAAACTTCCTTGGTTGCTATTATTTTAGAAGAAATTATTGGCAATACCACAAATTGTGCCTCTGGGTGTTTTGTTAAAAACAACATCTAAACAAAGTCTTTAACTGCGACATCAGGCTGCTACAATAAATGATTTTACTTTGAGGCTTTTTAAAACATCTTTACTAGGGGTGCCAACCAGATTGTCTACATCTGTATAATTTATTGTACCATGCATTCTTTTAGTCTTTGGATATGAAGATGTCAGTTGTCCATAGAAAAACTCAGATGATACTTGAATTGTGTAAAAAAGAAAAAAGAAAAAGTAAAGCTCACCATGTGGCTACCTTTAGAAACTTGCTTAATATCTGTTTATCTCAGGTCTGCTTGCCCATACCAGCTCAGTGCAGATGATCTTCCATCCCCAACTAAATTATAACCTTAATGCAATGTAGACACATTATATGTCCTGTATGCACATGCTAATCTCCACTATATGTAAAAACTTTAGAATTATGTCTTTTTTTAAAATCACCGTTGTTCGAAAGGCTTAACAAGTTAATAAAAATCTAGATCAGAATGTATATTGCCACACACGTCTTTCTTTCAGCAAAAAAAAAAAAAAAAACGAGACGGACGGACCACACAAGAGTTTTCTTTATTGTCAGGTTTGATAGTTTCTACTGCTGATCTCATGCAGACTGACAAGACGAGTCTACTCTGTTACTTCCAGGTGAATGTGGCGTTATTATTGGTCTATCTTGCATACAAATATATCATTTAAGCGATTTGTACAGGAGGATGAAAAACACAGTGATCAATCCACACACTATGTACAGCTTACGTGTTAGGTTTATCTGCTATATATATATATATATATATATATATATATATATGCATCATATTCTTTGAAACAGATCAAGTAGATGTTTTTGATGACAGCAGAGGTTCACAACAACCGAGCGTGAAAATGGAGGATCTTCCGTGTTGCGGTGTCTTGTCTGAAGTCAAAAAGTACATTTTTAGGACCGGTCTTAAAAAAAAAAAAAAAAAAAGAAAAAAAAAGGGAGACCAAACATTTACCCGCACAATTACTGCTACTCGATAACACTTTTTTATTTTTTTGTACAGCAGGTGTGTGACTAAGCGTCCCTCGGTTTGACTGGCAGGTTTCAAAGGCATTGGCAGTGGTGAAATGCAGAGCATCTTACAGGATGTGGAAGGTTTCCCCAACACCGCATTCTTCTTTTATTTTACTTCAGGTGATGCTAAAGGAGATGAAAGAAGGAAACTACTTCAGACTGATGAAATTTCCCACAATCTTCTTTTCGAATGGTTAGTTCAGAACTGTTGAACTTATATTCTGTAAAGAGGTTATACAGAGGTAAAATCTTAAGCTCAGTAGGACTCTCTCTTGGTGTCTTCTTTTTTTTGTATAAAGACAGACTGTTTTTGTCCCAGAGGTTGAACCTGATGGCAGTACGACAGGTGGCGGTTCCAAAGGGGGTCTCACAGGAACTTCAATCTCTAAAATGCAAACGATATTTTATGTGATTTGCACAACAGTCCATTTTTTTTTAAACAATGGAAATGGAGGTTGTGCATAACCAGTGAGCTGCCTGTGTGAACACACTCTAAGAGGGGAACACATAAAGCATTTTTAGATATGCAATGTTATGTTCAAGATTTGCAGATTTTTCCGTGGAACTTTTGAGTACAGTTCGGAAAGCAACCAATCCTGGAGAGGCTTTCCTTTTTCTTGGTGTTGATTGGTTTTTTTACCCCCAGGGAACAAAAATAAGAAAGCCCATTGACGTTAGCTTCTGCAGTAGTGCTAAGATTGTTTCCACTGTTCGAATCAATCCACACTAGTATTTGATGTCTGAACTATTAAAACAGGCAGTTAAAAGCATTTTCAAAGACGTTTTCAAATATTCATGAATGGTAGCTATTTGCGGGAACCTGTGGCTCACTGTGTAAGAAAAAGTGGATGTTTTTATTATTGCTATTATTTTTGTACTGCTTTACTTTGATAGTAAGCAGACACTGTGACTGTAAGGGCTTTGTATGCTCTGCGCTCAGCACGTTTCCCGTAGGAACAGAACTGGTGATGCACGCCTCCAACCTAAATTTCCTGTGAAAATGTTCATTTCTGCATTCATAAACACTGAATGGAAACATCACAGTGGTGTAAAGGTTGATAAAATGACACTGATTTACATAACGATAACGTTTCATGCAACTTATATTGTTTTACGATGGCAGATGTATTCCCAAACTAGTTGTTGGCTTCAGCCTGGATAATAATCAGGATTTATGCTAAATACACACACCAAGAGAGTTACCTACTGCAGGAAAGATATTAACCGTGTATAACAGTCTACCAGAACATCGCTTGAATAAACAGCTGAATTATCCACTCAGCACACAAGTTGAAGACTTGGTCGATGTGGAACTGCAGTCTTTTCTTTTTTTCATGTAGCTCTGAATGACGTTTGAAGTTACTGCCCTCTAAAGCATAAATATAACAGACTTAATAAACTCCAAAGAAGCTCCTCAGTGAAATAAAACGGGACAACCTAATAGATTTCAATTAGCGCTCTGAGATTTTTCACAATCTAGAGTCTTCTCTTTGAACATATTTTCCTCTTGCAGCCTCTCCAAACCCTCATCTTTGCCGTGTGACCTTATTTTTTGTCCTTTTTTTTTAAATAACAGCTTTTAAAAAAAAAACAAAAAAAACACAACATAAACTAGATGTTCAAATCACCACTAAAATATCAACAACAAAAAAAAGTAATCAACAACTGCAACATCTAGTTCACTTTAACTAACTCGGCATAAGAAAACGCAAAAGTACATCTACAAACTTTGTTCAAACTCATTCAGAAGACTGCAGGGATCAGCAGGAATTCAAGTGAGACACAAGGCCGACCGGATGATGCCGAAAGCACACAAAGCAGTGAGCCTGTTGCTTATCCTCCACAGCAGCTTGAAATGATGACAAGCAGAACGGCAGTCGGGTGTTCAGGTGCTGCAGGTCCATTCGTCCCTATGAACATCGGTATGTTGCTGGTTTTGGGAAAAGCTACTCGGTGCACAAATGCTGGAATGGCGACGTGTCTCATGAGTACATGACTCGTTTGGTCCTTTTAGTAGTTGTTAATCGGGGTTACAAGCAGTGGTGTCTGATGAGCGTTATTACTTTAAGTACTGGTTTGTGGCTGGGTAATGTTGGACAATGAAGCTAAGTAAGTAAAATGTAAACAAAAAAATATTTTTAGACTACTTTCATTTATATTGCCTCCCTTTAAAATTGTTCAAAGTCGTAAGTTCCCAAAAATAAGGCTTTCTTTCATAAATATAACAAAAAAAGGTTATGATTTCTATAGCTTTAAATGTAATGTCTTTGAATCATTGCCTGTTCCGTTTTCTCTTTTCAAAAAGATGCATCTAGCTTCTAATTTATAAATATCTGTTTTTAACAATTAACCCTGACTGAAAATCTTAAAAAGTGCAATCAAAACAAGTACTTGCCACTATAATAAACTAGCCTACTGGCGCTTTTAATCAAAAGTGTTTCACAAAGAAAAACCATAAATAAAAACCTCCTCGTCTCCTCGTCTGCACTGAAACATTGCACTGTGTTTTGAGAGAAAGAAATGGAATAAGTCTTTACCGAAGCCGAGACAGAGACTCAATCAGCAGAGTCGGGCTTTATCTGGCCCAGAGGGAGGAACAGCTTGGTCAGAAAGCGGCACGAGACAAGAGGTTACAGACGGGAGTGTTGCGGCGAATTTAACTTCAACAATGAAAATGACAGAATCTACAATTGGGGTTAGATACGTTGCAGCTACAATACCGAGGATGGTCATTTTTCACTCTGTTCTGAGCCACAAAACAACAAAAGCTACGCTAAAGGAGGTTATTGCAATTGGGTGCAAATGTAAATCCGGATCACAACACCCCAACAAACCTTTCGCCAGTGCAACGTGAAAGCAAGTTTCATCCTAAACGAAGCTTTTTACCCACAGAGCAACATTTCAGCGTGCATGCTCCGCACAGAGAGCAGCCGTTTTACGCTGGCAGGCCATGCAGAGTTATCTGTTGGCTTTGTATATGGACTTGCTGGCGTCACGCGGCTCTTTGCTGGGGTTGCTCCAGTCGTCCGCCTCGGGGCTGGTCTTGTAGTGCCGCCAAGCTGACTTGTTGAACACAGGCAGGCGTTCAAAGGACTCGCTGGACAGAGCCTTTAAGAGAGGAAGAACAGAAGTCGTTCACTGAAAAACGTCGACAAGAACTAGAAGGATGTTTAAAAGAGACAAGCTGAAGTGAAAATGCCCGAATGACTTTTTTGGGGGCATTTATTTAGAACTGTTGGTATTACAGGGCCTTCAAATGTTATTTGTAAGATTTGTAAGATCAAAATAAAGTTAAAAGGGAAGAAATAAACGCTGGAATAATAATAATAATAATAATAATAAAAAAAGCTAAAAGAAATGCATGAAGCCCCAGGTAAACCATCAGTACAGTAAAAGAGTGCCAGAAGAGCTACTTTAAAATTAATATCAAGTTTAAACTTAAACTATTTGAATGGCTGATATTAAATATCAAATCCTACTCCAGCTACAAAGTCAGCTGTTCACCAACAACATTCAGTGTAATAAACCAATAAAGTTTGACAAATGTTTGAATCTCAGTGCTAAATACCGGTTTGTCAAAATGCAATAACAATGTAAGAATTGGCGATTGTTTCAGCTGAATCAACTAGTTAAATGTGTTACAAGTAACTCTTTGAGTCTAAAAAATATATATAATTAGTTAATCATATTCAAAATGGAGACAAAATTCCAAACTCTAAAGATGAAATGAAGCTCATTACATGAATATATTGCCTAGAAAACAGGTTTATCAAAACTTCCTTCATTAAAAAAAAAAAAAAATCTGTTGGAGAGTGCCCCTAGTGGCCAGAAGAAGTTTTGCACTTGTACAAACTTACAAGTGCAACATGAATAAGCAGCAAGCCTCCCTGAAAGTGGTCTTTAATGGAGTCTGTGCTTTCTGATTTCACAAGCTGACAGACAGACATTGACGTTGCGAACGCAAAACACCAGAAATGCTTTTATCCCCGTTTTCTTCTTTTGGAAACTGAATAAAAGTTTCTCTACACTCCTCACTGTTTTCTTAAAACCTATTAATAAAAATAGTACTACTGCACATCTGGCTGACCCAGGTTACCTTCAGATAGATGACGGCATCCGTGCCCACTCCCTCCATGGAGTAGAGCTTCAGGTCGCCCTGGAAGTATCGAGCATAGAGCCGGGAAATCGGCAAACCGTAACCAAAACCGGCCTGGAATAGAGACGAGAGAACAAAGACAAACTTACCATCTAAATGGTAAGTTAGATCATCATAAAACCGAATGGTTTCGAGAGCGGGCAGGTGTACCAATGGGACGGCTCCCGGCTCCAGGCTGGGCGTCGGGGCAGTGGAGTACATGTAGTTAAAGAGACGGTCTATCTTCCTCAGAGGAACTCCTCCTCCTTTGTCGCTGATCTGGAGGCAGACGCCGGAAGAGTTAAAGACAACAAAAAGCACGGAAACAAAAAGCTCGCGTGTCATCAGATATGTCAAAACAAACTCGCCCCCAGGTCCTTTTACCTTTATCGACAGATCCTCTTTACCTAGAGTGACTCTCGCCTTCACTGGCGGCAATCCCTCCTTACTGTTTTCATGGAGCTCCACCGTCGCTCTCATGGAGTTCTGCAAACAGCCACAGCGTCTATAAACTGAGCTTAGGAGGGCAGGGGGATCTTTACAGAAAAATCCAGCCAATTCGTTACGTTTAACAGCAGAACAGCTCTGCTCACCTTGAAGAGCTCAAACAACATGTGGAACAGATGCGAGGGCACGTACACCACCTGGATGGGCTTCTTCGGAGCCTTCACTGCAAAACAAAAAGAAGGAGAGTCTCTTTGGTGAACGCAGAAAGCCGGTTCTTGGGAAGTTAATGACAGAGTGAATACTTTAATCACAATGGAGCTAAATTCGGAGCATCCAAGCGCATGTTTTAGTGCAACATCTGTGTGGCAGGTTAAAAGAGGCGCAGGGTGCATTGCACTCACTGTTGAACTCCTCAATCTTGAGCTCGGGAGAGGCTAAGTAGTACTTCTCACACAACATCTTGGCAGTGTCGTAGGCATCTAGTAGGAGAGTAAAAAAAAAAAAAAAGGCTGAGAACAGAGCAGCTGAATGTCCATTGTTTACATCTGCACTCATGCTCCCCCCGTCCCCTCACGGTTCACTCAGAGTGCAGCTTTGATCCACGCTAATGAAATGTTCTTTGAAAGTATCAGTGATGTATGCGTGTCGGCGATGGAGGAAGCGACCGATTCCTCAGAAATTCCCAAACGCTCAGGAAGGACAGAAATGTTTTTTATACAAGATCAGGTCAGGTCACATTCTTGACTTCCCTGAGAGAAGGCTGAGAATTTTTTATTTTTTTTATATATATAAAAATAACACAGACACAACCAGAGGCAGCTGTGGCTCAGGTGGAGCAGCAGGTTGGAAATAATTGAGAGGCTGGTGGTTGGATTTCCCTTCAGGCGAGGCACAGAGCCTTGTTGGCATTTGCGCGGATAATAAACGGATATAATTACAAAAACAACCGCAGAGCAGTTTGATATACAAAGCAGAGGTCAAAGGTAACCTGTTATGCTTCCTGGAACCGGTTAGGATAGGTCTATGAGCTAGACAAAACATGTTCATTACATGTTTTTCTTTGCACACAAGGGCGTAGGAACGAGTCTGTCATTGGGGGGGACGCATATCGGAAACCTGACAGATCAGTAAATATCTTAAGCAGAAATGTCAAACTATTTATGCCATCAACATATCAGTAACGCGTTACT